CATGCCAGTTGACTCAATGACAGACCTTATGATACAGCGCGCACATGCTATAACCATTCGGCCATCCACCCCCTATTAATCCCAATAAAAACATGATAACTACTCTAACTGTACAAATAGTACTTCAATAACCTGTTGTTGGGCTTAACTAATTAAATATGACAAAATATGATCGCCTATCTTATACATTTTGAAATCCTTAGAGAAAAGTAAAGCTTTTATTAATTAAAGATAAATTATGGGAGATTAAATAAAGAGCTGACAGTTAGCGCTATAATAGTTAAAAAAATAGATGACGTAAAGAAAATATGCTGACAATTTCACTCAAATTGCTCCACTCTGAACCGAGATGTTAGCTTTTGAATTTTAGCGTAGACTTGATCATCATTACTAAAGTCGGAACAATAAAAAACAGTCTCGATTATCCATTTTCACTTTTAATTATTTTTCAAAAAAATGTATTCTAATCCGTTAAATATCGCAGACTAGCATAACCATCTAGAGTTGATTATGGTCTGGATAAGTTAATTAATGTCTTATTAATAATTTAGATAACATTTCAGGCCTAAAGAAAGACCTGCAATAGACAGATTTAGCTCTTGCATAATGCATGTTTATAATAAGCAAGTTAAAAAAAAAAAAATAGGCACCTCAACCATAAACATTTCTCAGCTTAAAAGTAAATCTCTGAATGTCTTTTGAATTTTTCTGAAAAGTGGGTGCCCGTCTTTCAAATGACAGCTTCTAATTTTAGGAAATAATTTTAGGCATGGTAAAAATACTGTTGGGTCTAAGATGATTAATGCCTCGGATTGTCTTTTACATTTTTCAGACAATCTCTATTTTTTCATGGCATAATCCATTCTAAGATGTACACAAACTAATTATTTAACAAATGAATTAACAAAATTAATTCAAAATATCAGCGCTAGATAATCTGCCGGCTTGTATTCAATCGGATTAAAACGAAGGCCATCGAAAGATTTAAGTGAAGATTGACATTATCCCTATTCTAATGTTGGGAGATTATTCACCTATTTTTAATTTCTAATATCTTTGAGAATTAGAAATTTTTTAATCAATCAGTGTTGAAGTTTTTAGTGGTTTACCCACATTGGCTAATCCCTCACGCCATCCAGAACACCTGTTGTATAACAACTCTTCCAGATCCTAGCTAGTGTAGTACAGACAAATAAAACAAAATTTTGAACTATAAAAAACAAGGCGAAATATGATCTGTGTTTTAATCAGATTGTTTGAAATGTTTGTATAATTGTTATCTCATAATAATGTGTTGATTAACAACCACTGAGAAGTGTTTTAATAATTTTCATAAAACCAACACCAAGCAATCGTATGTACAGATGAAGCCCCCACTATGCTTGTGCAGAATGTATTTTTTTCTCCTACATTGAAATTCATCGAAAGAACATCGAAAAAACAAACATGCAAAGCACTGCCACTGTTTTGGCCTCACTCCACTTTAAAACCTGCATGCACCTAAATGAGCAGAAATATTATCTCATAGCTTAAAATTCCTGGACAGGCTCCTGCCAAGTGACATGGTTTTTTTTGGTTTTTTTTAATAATCTATCAATCAATGTTGACATGACAACAGAACATATGTTCAATTCAAACTGAAATCAACAGTACTTCCCAAGATACTGATTTCAACACCTCCTGATCCCCCAAAAAGTCAGAACATGAGATGATAAATGAGGTAAAGATTAAATAAATAGAGAGAGAGAGATAGAATTTGGGTTTAACTCCACTTGACACAAACTAGCTCATTATTCTCTAGCGCGTAGGGGTTTTTAGCAGTGGGAGGAAACCGGAGCTCCTGGAAAAACCCACAAGGTTCAACAGGCAACCCTACTCCTTATCACTTACAACTGGTGTATCGAAACCAGGCCAGTTGATTCAATGACAGACCTTATGATACAGCACGCAGATGCTAACCATTCGGCCATCCACCCCCCCTGATAAAACAGCTATCAGAAGGTTGAGTTGAATGGAAAGGGGGATGGATAACTTTAATGACAATACATGTAATTGAAAATTTGACAAATTATTTTAATTGACCAAGGATTGACCCTGGTTTCATATGATTTACATATTTGACATGATGACTAATGATGTTTTGTAAGTGATCTACATGCTATTTTAACAATATGGGCTTCTTTAAACGAAACTGGATACCCAAATAAACTCTTTAATTCCTGCTGTGGATCATAAATGATTTAAAAGGGGACCTAAGAGAAAAGATCAATTTCTATGCCATTATAATAAAGATATGCACATTTTGGTATCAAAGTGGTGGGGAGGAAAAGAAAAATATAAAATTCTTGCCTCTACACTAATTTCTGAATTTTATATATGGTTGAAAATTGAATGCACATTTATATTTTTTTTACAAAGCATCAAGCAATGAAATTATTTTATATACCGTAGTTATATTCATCCAGATTTTTATTCATCCAGATTTTCCGGGTGGTTTCCTCATGTCAGTGATGCAGGACGGAGGGCCTGACAAGGACAGCTGTCTAGTCGTTTGGATGGGACAAAAAATCGAGGTCCCGTGTACACATGGGCATGCACATAAAAGATCCTTTGACAGTTGGAATACGATATAAGAGTAAGCCGTAGTGCCGCTGTCCGGGCAAAATCTCCCTCATAGCACACGGTATGGCGTATCCCTGTCTTCATTAGCCCAGTTCGGAGCAAAACAGTAGGACGTTAAACCCCATTTCATTTCATTCCAAAGTATCGACAAATGAAATTGCTTATGTGAACATCTACACCAATTTTGAACAATCTACATTAAGTGTGACTGATGAACAAAATATTACAGACTCATTTTCAGAGTGCAGAGCTATCTTTGAAAGGCGAAGGGGGGAAGTGTGGGGGGGGGGGGGGGAGAACAACAGGGATAATACCAAAATTTGTCATATCTTGTTAATCTTGTGAACAAAATACATGTACATCAAAAACTGACTGATTCGCCAAGTTAACCCAAGTCAAAACTCTATTAATATGTTCTTCTTCAAATGAAACCCAATACAAAAACAAAACTCTACAATTCCTGATGGGCATGTTGCAGGATGATAAATGGTTTACAGACCATCTGGAGATTCCTGTTGATACTAGCCATTAATATGTCATCATGTGACTCAAATAATATTATGATTTAATTTCATATGATTTGGTTCACACCCTCATCTTTCAAATTTATAACATGTTACAATAATAGATAGGTCAAACAACTGTTACAATCCAGTACAATATAGCACCTGTATATAATGCTTTAATATGAAAGGTCACAAATTCTAAATGCATGTGTATTTGTATATTATATTGTGAAGCACTCTGGAGGTGTGGTGTGGAGTGTGTGGGGGTGTGTGTGGGTGTGTGTGTGTGTGTGTGTGTGTGTGTGTGGGGGGGGGGGAAATGGATGGCCGAATGGTTATTGTGTGCACATTGTAACAACTGTTACAATCCAGTACAACATGACTCCTGTACATAATGCTTTAATATCAAAGGTCAGAAATTGTAAATGCATGTATATTTGTATATTATATTGTGAAGCACTCTGGGGGTGGGGAGTGGAGTTTGGTGGGGATGGATGGCCGAATGGTTATCGCGTGTGCATTGTTTCATAAGGTCTGTCATTGAGTCAACTGGTGTGGTTTCGATTCCCCAGGTGTACGTGACAAAGAGTAGGGTCGCCTGTCCAACCTCGTGGGTTTTCTCCGGGTCTTCCGGTTTCCTCCCATTGCTAAAGACCCCTACGCACAAACGAATTATTGAAATAAAATTGAACCGTAGTCCCGAAATGACCTTGTTCATGTCGAGTGGACGTTAAAAACCCCACAAAAAAAAAAAAATTGTGAAGCACTCTGTGCAGATAACTATCTACTATGAGAACAGATCTCTGCCTTAAATGGCTGCCATGTTAAAGGATCGTGAAATATGTGATATTTATAAGCATCTTCATGCTTGTTTTCGTATCCTACATACTGTAATTCAGCTATAAAAAATTGTAAACATTGCAAGTAAATATTGTTTAAACAGAATACGCCCACACAGCAGATTATCTGAAAGGAAAACTTGGATGTTAACTAAATTAATAAGGATGCTTACAGATAACTCTGGAAAGGAAGCTCACAGAATGCTGAATATTGATAAGGTTCATCTCCCATGACCCCTTATGCTTCATAGGGGAATAAATCTGGAAAGGAAATGCTGAATATCGATAGGGTTTGTCCTCTCATGATCACAATGCTTCACACTAAATTTAAAAAACATCCGTCAAAAACTGTAGCCTCTAACGTGTTAACAAGGTTTTCAGAAAAGGGGGCATAAATCTGAATATCCATAGGGTGATTTCCCTATGTCAGCCCCCCCCCCCTTCCCCTCAATACTGTGTACATATTAGTGTGCATGAAACAGAACCATTGACAGCTGGCCATTCTATGAAACACTGCTGCACTGGTAATAATTTCCCTCAGAACACACTGTATGGTGTATGCCCTCTTCATTAGACCTTTACGAGCAGAACAGCTTGATGTTAAGAAAAGGGAAGAAAACACAAACTAGGTCATTTTCGGATTCGGATTAACTTGCGGTTCAATTTTATTTCAAAGATTTGACTGTGCGAAGATGTCTTTAGCAGCTAATTGGCTTTAGCAGTGGGAGGAAACTGGAGAACATGGCTACCCCCCCCCCCCCACCCCAAGAGTTTGACAGGTGACCCTACTCCTTGCTACATACAAGCTTGATATCAAAATCACACCACATGACTCAATGACAGACCTTATGATCTATTGAGCATGTATAAGACCATTTGGTCTTTCATCAACCCCACCCACCCCCTTTCAGGATGTTGAACGCCATTTCATTTCAATTTGATAAGATGAGGAAACTGTCAACTTCTGATATAACACAATCTTAAATTTTAGCACAATATAAAAAATCTTTTAAAAAAAAAGAAAAAAATCATAATTGATTATTACAATTTATTTACAAAACTTATAACAAATACTATTGGTATTTCATATTTCATACAAAACTTATAATAAATACAATTTGAATTTAATATTTCATACAAAACGTTAAATAAATACTATTGGAATTTAATATTTCATACAAAACGTTAAATAAATACTATTGGTATGCTATATTTCATACAAAAATCATCATGAATACTACAGAAGTTCAAACATAGTGGGCTCTTTAATAAAATATAATAAATTAAATTATCTGTTTTCTAGAATAATTACACCGGAGATCGAAGAACTGAAAATATAAAAATAGAAAATTATTTTAAGGTTAACATGAAAGAAGCAAAATAAAAACGTCTTAAACCATCAGAAGAAGAAACTAGGTCATTTCGGGACAAACATATGGCATAATTTGATTTTTGTGGATAGGGGTCTTTAGCAGTGGGAGTAAACTGGGGGACCTGGAGAAACCGACAAGTTTAGGCATGTGACATTATTCCATGTTAGGTAAAACCCTGAGATAAAAAGCCCAGCCACTGTCAAACTTTATATCCAAAGCGCGAATGCACATAAACAAAAAAAATTGTTTGTTTAAAATGAAATGGGGATGTTTAACGTCAGGCGTTGGCCATACAGTGTGCCATGAGAAAAAATTTGCCTTGACAGTGGCGCAACAGCCTACTCTAATTTCGAATTCCAACTTTCAAGGCCTCTTTTACGGGCACACCAAAATCTACACATCTGAACGAATGGACACTACCCTTGTCAGGCCCTTCATCCTACAGTGACAAGTGGAAACCCTGCTGGAATATTCTGGGGAAGTTTCTTGGCCAACAACGGGGTCAAACCCCGGACCACCTACCTAGTGATCCAGTGCCTTACTCACTGAGCCACCGGGGCTCCCAAAGAACGTTTGGACTTTTATCGGTTTAAAACTGAATTAAATGTAGACTACTCACGATTACAAATTCTGTTTAATAGTCCCTGTCCTTGACCCAACTCTTTATACCGAACCAGGAATTGGTCTGCTGGTTTGGCGACCAACTGTAAAATATCTTTCTCACCTGTGCTGCTACCAGCTACCATGATAACCCGGATGTTATTAAGTCGATGATAAGCTCGCTGCAATTCCCGCGCAGTTTCTTTGAAATCGCTGATTGGTCCACTGGTGAAAAGGACAATAACTCTCTTGGAATTTTTCCTGGCATATCGACCAGTCAAGGTCTGTCGGGCAGTGGCTAATAATTTGGACACCCGGACATCACTTTGTACCGTGATAGCCCTGGCAAACCCTTTTGCATTGTAATACTGTAATGGATTGATACTGCCGACATCAGGGCAATCACTGGACTCCAGTCCAACATGTACGGTTTCTCTTCCCACGTCAAGTCCCTGTGCAACGTTGCCAATAACTTCCAGATTGTTCGACATTTCGGCGAAACTGGCCTGGCTAAAGTCGGTTACAAACATGACATCAGCTGGTGACCGACTACCACAGCGAGCTAGAATAAATGAAAACTTCGTCAATTTGAGACTGACATGTAGTCAATTACATTTCAATGGTTATGTGGTACAACAAGAGGGATAGAGAGAGAGAAATGCGGTTTAACGTCCACTCGACACATACTTTAAATAATTCGAGGTTGGACAGGTGACCCTACTCCTCGTGCATGCGTTAAGCATTCGGCCCCACCCCATCCAAGAGGGATATAATATTGCCCAAGAGGTGGAATATCCCCCTACTCTTCTTCAAATTCCACCTGTTACTGGTAAGGCTTCTTGTATCGTCCTTTTTTGAACAACTTTGTGCACATTTTCCTGCACATTTTCGGAGCTCTTTTCGGGATTTGGACAAGGCAGTGCCCTGCCACTCAACTACTACATCTGTTGAGATCTACCCTGCAACTAATTAAAATGGGTACTGCTAAAAAAGAGAATCATTAAAAGCAAATCCTGTGGTACGTTCTTGGTAACACCGGGTGGGGGGGGGACCATACAGAAATATTTTGGGGTACATCTTGGTTCGTCATGAGCCAGCACCTCACAACGTGAGTCACCTTGGCTCCATATTCGATTAACTGTTTTCTCAAAATCTTTGACATTTGCTTTTACCAAAAGTTATTTCAATACTTACTTAAAATGTCTTTTTGTTCTTTGGCTAGAAAATAAATCAAATTTTTTTTAAAATAAACAAATCAAGAATACACTAATACAGCATAAATGTTTTAACTGGATGGAGCAATAAACTATATCAGATACTCACGGAAATGAAATGCAATGGGGTTTAACCTCCAACTGTTCTGCTCCAACTGGGCTAATGAAGATGGGCATACGCAATACAGTGTGCTATGAAGGAAATTTTGCTCGGACAGCGGCACCACAGCCAATGCAGGGATCAAACCCCCAACCCCCAGGCTATCGAGAAAGTGTCTTATCCACTTAAGCACTGTGGCCCCCCCCCCCCCACTTACGGAAAGCTAAGCTACTAATTTACTTGGGTAACGTCGTATTATACAATGAAATTGTCTGTTTAATCATGCTTGGTACTTGATGATTACCCTAATGCTTGTAGGGTGGGTGAATGTTTTAACATGTGCGCTTTAGATCATAAGGTCTGTCACTGAGTCAAGTGATGTGGTTTAGATCCCCGCTTATACCATCTTCAATAGAAGGCTTGAACTCGCTTTAACTACGTACATCTTATCCAGGCCTTCACGTAATACCCTGCATATGTCGGCACTAATATCGATTGGGTAGAAGCCCAGCCTGTGAGCCTATCAGATTCCTCATCGTCACGAATACCAAGTCTAGCACTTTTACCCTAAAATGTCTACCTGTGATAATTGAGTTGCAAAGTTCAAGGTTCATTCAATGTCAAGGTTTCCGTGGAGGTCGCGATGTCACAACCTCTGATTGGACGCTACTGCTCAGCTCACGTGTCTTTAGATAACATAGCTATAAATTCGGGAATTGTGAAGTAAACAAGCAGTCGTTGCTTCAGGAACATGCGCTTGTACGTAACCTCTGTAGTCTTCTCCCTACATGTAAGGGAACAATTATTGAAATACTTGAAATACTTACATGTGGAACATGTTTTGAAAGCTAACAGATTTTTGATGGTTCCGAGGGCATTATATCCATTTACTTGATAAACATAATTGGATTCTGGTCGAGATCCAATGTTTTTTAATTCTTCCATGTCCAAATCACTTCCAACACCTAAAATAGGAGAAATATATTTAAAAACCTGAGAAGTTCAACTGTACCAACTACATGTAGGCCCAATCTGATCAAAACACAGATCCTATTTTGTTTTGTTTTTTATAGTTCAGAATTTCGTTTTACTTTTCTTTCCTATACTAGGGAGAGAGAGAGAAATGGGGTTTAACGTCCACTCGACACAAACTAGGTCATTTCGGGACTAACACATGGTTCAATTTTATTACAATAATTCGCTTGGGCATAGGGGTCTTTAGCAGTGGGAGGAAACTGGAGGACTCGAAAACCCACGAGGTTGAACAGGCGACCCTACTCCTTGTCACGTACAACCGGGGATTCGAAACCACGCCAGTTGAATCTATGACAGACTTAATGATACAGCGCGCATGTGCTAACCACTAAGCCATCCAACCCCCTGTATCGAAACGTATCTTCAAGAACCAGATCATAGACTAGATAGGGACAATCCTATCGTAATGCATCGCATGACAGTGGGAACCTACCATTAGAGGTAAATTTTGCCTGGGCAGTAACATTTCGGCCTATCAACAATTCCAAGTATCAAGTGTTATTTCATATATACATCTGATGTGAAAATGAAATGAAATGGGGTTCAACGTCCTACTGTTCTGCTCCTATACTGGGCTAATGAAGACGAGCATACGCCATACAGTGTGCAAGAAGGGAAATTTTGCCAGGGCAGCGGCACTATCACCTACTCTTATATCGAATTCCAACTGCTAGGGGATCTTTTACGTGTATTCTAATATATACATGGGACCTCAATTTTTTGTCTCATCCGAAGGACTAGACAGCTGTCCTTGTCAGGCCCTCCGTCCTGCATCACTGACAAGGGGGAACGACGCCGGAAAATCTGGAATGACTTTCTTGGTCAATGCAGGGATGGAACACCCGACCTCCAGGCTAGCGAGCCAGCGTCTTACCCACTTAGCCGCGTGATCCCCTACATCAGATGTGATTGACTAGATGATGCACATCCTTAAAAGGGGAAACCCTCATGAAGAAACTTTCTCGGCTGAACAAATGACTATTGGACTGTGAGCTAGTGTGTTCCTCACTGAGTAACTGGAAATGACCAAATTCGAAATAAAATGAAATGGGGTTTCAACGTCCTACTTTTATGCACCGACTGGGGTACTGAAGACGGCAGACGCCATGCAGTGTGCTACGCGTGACCTTGGTTTTCCATCCCATCCAAACGACTATATGCCATTGTCAGGACAATGGAAAACCGTGCCAAAAATAAATCCTGAGGAACTGGGCCCTGTTTCACGAAATTTTAACTAAAGATAAAATCCAAATTTTAGTAGATACTTCAATTTTGATTGGCTAAGCACTAAAATCAATCTAATATTATCCAATCCAATTTTATCTTAGTTAAAATTTCGTGAAACAGGCCCCTGACCAAAAATGAATATAAGACTACTCACCAACAGCAAACATGTAAACACCAGAGGCCTTGATACTCGCTGCTTCTCTCGCTGTATCCATCTGGCGACGGCTGATCCCATCCGTAATGACAATGACGATCCGAGCCAGTTCGGGACGAGCGCCATTTTGTGGAGACAGCATTTGTTCTCTGACAACTTCCAAAGCGAGGTTAGTGTAAGTGTTACCACCGGTGTATTCAATATCGGACACTGCTTTCATAATACTCTGTTTGTCTTGGAATTTATTCAAATAAAATTCAACCTTGGGTACATCACTAAAGGTTAAGACTCCTATCTGGGTTTTGGATGGTCCGATGTCAAACAATGAAATCACGTCATTGACAAAGGTCAGTTGTGTAGAGAAGTCCCTGTTGTCAATACTACTGGATTTATCCAAGACAAAGATGATGTCCGAATTTTTTCCACTACATTCTAAAAAAAAAAAAAAAAAAAAAAAAAAAAATACTTTCTCCGTTTTGAGATTATCAAAGATGCATTATTTTTAAAAGGGCTAAATCTATCTACTAAAGTATTTTGGCTTCAAATGTTATCAAACTATCATTTATACATTTATTAACATGGCCCGCCAATAATCAAGTCTCTAGATCATCTAAAACAAATAATCGAGACTTAATCTTGTTTGCTACAATAATAAAACAATGTCCACTACATCTTCAAACATTCATACCTTTATACTGAATAGAGTAATTTGAATGAAATTTTCAATATATTCATTTTTCATTATCTATTTTTGAACTATTATTGCATGCCAACATATACACAGGACCGCAATTTTTAAACGAAGGCTGTTCCTTGCCAGTCCCTCCATCATAGATCACTGTCGAGGGGAAATCATGCCAGAAATTCCTGAGGAACTTCCTCAGCTAACACCCAGACCTTCCAACGCAGTGAGCTAACATCTTACTCACTTTGGTCATTTTGAGACCGACATAGGCAATGTGTAAATGAGTGGAAATTTCTAACAAAATAGAGCTAACAAAAATGGGCCAACACTATGCAGCAGTGTGCTATGAGTGAAATTTTGACCGGATAGAAGTGCTTCAGCCTACTGCCTGGGTCTTTTACGTGCACACCAATGTGTACACAGGACCGTAAATGTTTTCCAAATGACTAGAATGACTTTTTCTTACAAACTATACAAAAGAATATAACTTGAATTTTCTTACCCTTCTCTGTGTCCTTATCTCCCTGCATCTCCTCTGAAATAATAATTTAATGTTGCACTTAAAAAGCAAGAAACATATTGCTCAAAACAAACTGAATGGTCGTTAACAACAGATCAACCATATTGAGACCCACAAAGTACCTTTGTCAGTCAATCTACATTCAGACTCTGTTTGGGAGAAGACGGGGAAAGTAACTGGTACCATACTATTGATAGTTTTATCGACACAAATAGGTCATTTTTGGACTAACATATGGTTCAAATTTTTAAGTCAATAATTCCCTTGTGCGTAGGGGTCTTTAGCAGTGGGAAGAAACCAGAGGACCTGGGCAAAACCCACTAGGTTGGACAGGTGACCACTAGGTCATCCCCCCACACCACCCCAGGCATATGCAATGCAGCCGCAGGTTCTTTTATGTGCATGCCAACATGTACACAGGATCTAGGCGTTTCATGCTATCAGTCTAACTACATGGTGTTTCTTATCAGACCCTCCTTCCTGCACTACTTACACAGGGGAAACCAGGGAACTTTCTGAGCAAAAACATGGATGGAACCCAGGATCTCCTGGTTAGTGAGTGAGCCACTTTGGTTCCTTGTTGCTAAGAGAAGACAAACAAAATTCATATTTTCTTCCACCTATATGGATAGATTTTTTAACTTTTTACCTTCAGTGGTTGTTTCAGGCTTCTTTGTTGTCGTAGTTGGAGCTCGGGTTGTTGTTGTGGTGGTTGTTGTCGTTGTGGTAGGTATGGGAGTTGTGGCAGCTAATAAAATAAAAGAAGGGAAATGAAATGGGGTTTGACGTCCTACTGTTCTGCTCGGAATTGGGCTGATGAAGACGGGCTATGAAAGAAATTTTGCCCGGACAGCGGCACTACGGCCTACTCTTATATCGAATTCCAACTGTCAAGGGATATTTTATGTGCACACCAATGTTTTTTGTCCCAGGCTAGCTAGCCAGCATCTTACCCACTTTGCCACCGTAACCTTCACAAAAGAAGGGAAAACAAATTAAGTGATAAGTGTCTAATAAGCATAATAGTCAAAAACAAAAAGCATAATAGTCAATAGTCAAAAACAAAAAGTATAATAGTCAAAAACAATAGTCAAAAATGTTATACTCTCCCTGCTTAAAAATACTGGCATTTTAATTCTTAAACTAGCATCTCATATTGTTTTAAATGAAGCATCTCAAAAACGAAAGTTGACAATCTTACCTTCACAGGCTTTCAGAGCAAGACGATCTTGAATTCCTTTCAATTTACTATAATTATCCACCTTGACAACAAATTCATCTGATGGTTTACTCGCCATTCCATTCAATTCATCTAAATCAGCAGCACCAACTCCAATAGCAAAAATGGTAATACCCTTGTTACGTGTTTTCTGTGCCTCGACAAGTGTCAAGGTGCCATTGGTTGACTCTCCATCAGTGATGATGATGGCAATTTGTGGCAGGTTTGGTCGAGCGCCATTTGCAGGGTTGAAGATAGTGTTTCGTGCATATCTCAGACCCAATCCTGTATCCGTGTAATCCCCTTTCGTAAAAGTAATATTTTTGATGGCTGCAATTACCAAATCTTTGTCGCTGTAGGAGTTGAGGAGAAATTCATTCCGGTAGCCTTCTGAGAAGGTCACAGCCCCAATTCTGGTCTTGTCAGTGCCAATATCAAAGGAGGAAGCCATCTCTTCAACAAACTTCAGCTGTGCTTTAAAATAGGGTGGCCAGATACTTCTGGAAGCATCGATGATGAAAACGACATCTGCTGATAAGCCGCATCCTTTGTCACCTGGAATTAAGAACATTTTAAACAAGATCGCAAACCTAGAGAAAATTGGGTTTTAACATCCCCTGAACTTAATTAAACTATGTCATTTCAGGACTAACATAATTTGCTTGCATCGGAACTTGTTGGTATGTGAGCCAATGTCATACTAAACAAGCCATATATAGTGGCTTAAGAGAGAGAGAGAAATGGGGTTTAACATCCACTCGACACAAACTAGGTTATTTCGGGACTAACATATGTTTTTTTAAGATTTTATTTCAATTAATCGCTTGCGCGTAGGGGTCCCTAGCTGTGGGCTCAAACCGGAGGACCCGGAGAAAACCCACGAAGTCAGACTGGCAACCCTACTCCTTGTCACGTACAACCCCCCCATAGTGGCTTAAACTCAGGATATAAAAAAGTTCTAGAGAATGGACTACAATTGGGCAATTGGAAGATCATTGAAAGTATCCCGTTTTAATTTGGCCCGGATTTGAAAATGCAATGGGGTTTAATGTCCTACTGTTCTGCTCTGACTTCTCGGATTTAGTTTCCCCACAGTCTAATCCACACTAATATGTTCTGGGTACTTACAAATTGATTATATAAAATTTATTTAATGATATATTATGGGAGATAAGATAAAGAGCTGGCAGTTCTACTATAATAGTTAAAAACTACATAATGTAAAGGGAATTTGCTAAAAATTTCAGTCAATTTAGCGATTGAATTTTCGACCTAGCCTTGATCATCATTCCTCAAGTCGGTACGATAAACACAGTCTTGATTATCCGTTTTTGGATTTATTCATGAAAGTTTAGCGGCAAATCGGATCCTAATCCAGTAAATATAACAGGCTAGCGATGACATCGAGAATTGATTATGGTCTGGATAAGTTAATTAATGTCTAATTAATAACTTAGAGAACATTTCAGGCCTAAAGAAAGACCTGCAATAGGCAGATTTAGCTCTTGCATAATATATGTTTTAATGAACAAAATCTAAATACAAATTGCAGCTAATCTCCCTGAGATAATTTAGGGACTAACAAATGGTTTGATTTTATTTCAATAATTCAGGGATCTTCAGCAGTGACAGGCCACCCTACTATTTGTCAGATCAAAACTATTTGTGAAATGAAATGAAATGGGGTTTAGCGTCCCACTGTTCTGCTCCAAACTGAAGACGGAATCTATTTGTGGGATCAAAACAATCTGACATGACTCAATGGCAGACCTTACGATCCAAAGCACACGTTTAAGATCATTCGCCCACCTAACAACCCTATACAGATTACAATTAACTTACCTTCAACTGAAGGAATCTGAAAAACAAAATTATACAATATTAAAGTGAGACTAAGTTTATTGAAACCAGAATAATTGTAATTAATCGTATTAATTACTTAATATGCTTATTAAATTAGAAATTCTAAAGTTAATCCATAGTTGAACACGAATTGCATCTGTCAACGGTTCTTTTACGTGTATGAGAGAGAGAAATGGGGTTTAACGTCCACTCGACACAAACTAGGTCATTTCAGGACTAACATCTGGTTTAATTTTATTTCAATAAATCCCTTGCGTGTAGGGGTCTTTAGCAGTGGGAGGAAACCGGAGGACCCGGAGAAAACCCACAAGGTTGGACAGGTGACCCTACTTTACGTGTATGCCACTCAAATGTACACAGGACCTTGGTTGGCTTTTTGTCCCATTTCAATTGACTCGACACTTCCGGCCTGCACCACTGACAAAAGTTCAACCATGCCAGGAAATACTGAAGTAAAATTTTCTCGGCCCCAACACCGGGAGCAAACCCAAAACCTCCTGGTTAGGGTCTTACTTACTTGGCCACTGCGGCTCCCAGCATTATACCTATTGGACGCCAAAACAATGATGGTATCAAATAGGGGACAACAAAGCCCTAACCTGTTCCTCAATCTAATTGCAAATAAAATAAAATATTGTTTATATAAAAAAAAAATATTTATATATACATATATTTACCTCCAACATGGCCGCAGAAAGGCAGAAAATACACAACTGGAAAATCATCTTTGATACGAACAAAACGAATAATATAAAACTTGAAAATATCAGCTCCAATGTATTGGTTATCTTAAACAAGTTTACGTCTCTATACCCCTCACTCCATCCTTTTATAGAGAAAATCTTCAAAAATAATTATACCTTCCCTTCTAATCAGACAAACAATTATTTCATTAATTTATTTATCTAATAATAGGAAATCATATTTCATAGTAAATTATTATTGATAACATAACTCTGTGATGAGTTGTTGTTCTGGGAGTGACTCAGTTTGTAAATTTGTGGAGTAAATATTAACAACACTTATCTAATATTTATTTACTGCATGGTTTTATAAATATGCCTCACATGTAGATAATATATACTATAACAGAACTTGTCTGCTAAAATCAACCTTTCTCATCATGGTGGTCATGCAAAATGGTTTTAGCCCCCAAAATGATCTAGTTTGTATTCGAGTGGACGTTTTAAAAGCTCCATTTCTCCCTCGCTAATTGGTTTGTGCCAAAAAGGGTAGTTACTACATGTAGTTCAGACTGCAGGTCACTATTTCTACAAAATAGCTACTCCAATAATAAAACTGGATCTGATAATTGGGTCCTATGGAAACTTTAGGTATTGTTTGATGATTCCAGCAACTGACTGGGTTCTAGGAAATGAGAATTCCACTTTGGACCATTGTGATCTCCAGTTGACCGTGGTTACTTATATTCTAGGCTTACCAAGGCCATTAAGATGCTTCTGTTTAAACTAGTTTAAAACTGCCATTTTTTGGTGGTGGGGGGGGGGATGGGTTGGGGGGAAAGGTAGTGTTGCGTTTACATATACTATAAGCCAAACCAGTTTAACTATTTTGACCTTGTCGGTTAAAAAAATAAAATGTAGATGTCGTCATTTTAATATGAAGATAATTTACTGAGCGTGCACCATAGCTTGTCGGAGCCTATGTTTTAAACCAATCCGTTCCTATTGGCAAGATAACCGAATTGTCTTGAAGACAAGTAGAGAGCTGGGGTTTTTAAACTTGTTTATTTGCCCCGCGTTAGCATTCAGACAATAAAGTTAAAACAATTTCAAATTCTACAGCATGTAACTTGACTGACAGGTAAGTGAAAGTTACTTCTTAAGCGGTTTGATTTCACTACCAGTCAGTCAAGACTTAAAAATGAGTGAAACTAGAGCCCCTTTTTCTGAACCCTTATTCCAGAAAGAGAGAGTGAGAAATGGGATTTAACATCCACTTGACACAAACTAGTTCATTTCGGGAATAACATATAGTTCAATTTTATTTCAATAATTCGGTTGCGCATAGGGAGGAGGAGGCTGAAGGACCTGGAAAAAACCCATGAGGTTGGACAGGCGACCCTACTCCTTGTCACATACAACCGGGGAATCGAAACCACATGCGAGTTGACTCAATGACAGACCTTATGTTACAGAGCACATGAGCTTTCACTACCAGTCAGTCAAGACTGGTTAAAATGAGTGAAACTACAGCCCCTTGTTCTGAGCGAACCCTTATTCCAAGTCATGAGAAATTATTTATCTATTTATAACACTACGTGGTCTTGTGAGCAGGGGCTAAGTGAGAGGGATGCAATGACGAGCTTTGTGTCATGGTTTAGAGTTTTGGTGTCCCTCGCAAATGGCAAAAAAATCATGTGGTTTTAATTTGGTTTTCAATAGTATAATCATAATGCTCAACCAGTGTCAAACATATACCGTGGGTCAAATATGCTACAAATCGAAACTCTAGCATATTCCACACAGCCCAATATTACACGGTGGCAAAGGGAGAGACTGCCGCCCCACCCCCTCCCATACATATAAATATTGTTTTTTGGGGGGCCGGATGAGATCGTGTTCCAGTGTCAAACATATACAGTGGGTCAAATATGCTACAAATCAACTCTAGCATATTCCACACAGCCCAATATTACACAGTGGCAAAGGGAGAGACTGCCACCCCACCCCTACCCACAACCCTGCCACACATATATTGTTTTTTGGGGGGCAGGACGGGATCTTGTTCCTTATGCAAAATCGTGGGTCACCACACCCTGTTTGTGAGTGAACCCATAATAAATTCGGGCAATTGATAAGATTATTTAAACTGTCCCCTGATTCAATATCCTTTCACACACCTACTAAGTTCCTATTTACTGGAGATTTAATAGGGCACTACGACTTGGTGTGGGCTTGTTTATGTACTTTTTGATAAATTAGGTGCTTTATCTAACCTTGACTCTTCTGTACAAACCTTGTTAGGTTGTTTTTGTTAAATAAAATATGGTTTTGCTTACAATATCAAATTTAATATCCTTTAGCCTGATTTATTCCCACATTAAAGAACATACTTATGGTATGTATGTCTTCTCTCTCCGCCAGCAACATCATTAGATCCAGGAGCACACAGATCTACCAGCTTGACAAGACTCTGCTACTCTGTTCAGGAAGTGTTGCTATTCTCTCTCTTATTTCCTACTCTATAGATGCTAATATTCAAATTTGCCATTGTAAACAAAAATCAGTTCAAATCCATTTTACGATGGTGGCGGTGGATGGTCTAGTGGTTTAAAGTGTGTGTGTAAAATCACAAGGTCAAGTTGCGTGGTTTTGACTCCCTGTATGAACGCCACAATTAAGGAGGGGGGGTGTCGTCTGCCCAATCTAGTGGGTTTTCTCCGGATCCTCCGGTTTCCTCCCACTGTTTAAGACCCCTACGCGGAAGCAAATTATTGAATTTAATTTGAACCATGTTAGTCCCGAAATGACCTAGATTGTGTGGTTTGGACAATAGGGCTGTCTAAATCAAGCAATATCAAATGTCATCATAACCATATTATGTTTTTTTATTTTTTCCCAAGTTAGGCATTAAGACGATTAATTAAATGACATAATTATCTAGATTAGACGAATGAGACATGGGTAATATAATAATTAATGAATGATTATAAAATAAAGATACCATTAATTATATAGAAATAGACACACTATGAATCACTTGATGGAGAAGAGAGAGAACTGAGGTTCAACATCCACTCAACACAAATTATATCATTTCGGGACTAACAGATGGTTCAATTTTATTTCAACAATTTGCTGGCATGTAGAGGTCTTTGGTAGAGGAAGGAAGCCCGAAGACCTTGTTACATTTAAGTAGGGAATAATAACACTGTCACTTGACACAATGACAGGGAGAGAAAGAGAAATGGGGTTTAACATCGACTCAACACAAACTAGGTCATTTCAGGACTAACATATGGTTCAAATTTAATTCAATAATTCGCTTGTGCATAGGGGTCTTTAGCAGTGGGAGGAAACCGAGGAAACCGGAGGACTCAGTGAAAACCCATGAGGTTGGACAGGTGATGACACAATGACAGAGAGAGAGAGAAATGGGGTTTAACGTCCACTCGACACAAACTAGGTCATTTCGGGACTAACATATGGTTTAATTTTATTTACATAATTCGCTAGTGCGTAGGGGTCTTTAGCAGTGTGAGGAAACCAGGGGCCCCGGAGAAAACCCACGAGCTTGGACAGGCGACCCTACTCCATGTCACGCACAACCAGGGAATCGACAACACCCCAAGAGACTTTATCAAAGGACAATAACGAAATGAAATTCTGACTCTATATAATCATAGGGGAGAAAAAATTGTGTATAGCAATATGTCATTGACTTCACAGCACTGTGTTTGAATTGAACAACCCTCATAAAAGGTTTGTCACTATCAATTACGACTAATAATTCAAGACTAATTACAGAGAAATCAAAGGCAATTAGATAGTCATTATAATACATTAGATGGTTATCAATTATTGTCTTAATAAAAATCATAATGATAACAGGTCTAGTCATACTATATGTATGTATAGTATAATATGTATAATAGCTACATATACATGTAGAGAGAGAGAGAGAGAGAGAGAGAGAGATGGGGTTTAACATCCACTCGACACAGACTAGGTCATTTCGAGACTAACATATGGTTTAATTTTATTTCAATAATTCGCTTGCGCGTAGGGGTCTTTAGGGAGGAAACCGGAGGACCCGGAGAAAATCCATGAGGTTGGATAGGCAACCCTACTCCTTGTCACGAACAACCAGGGATTCGAAACCACGCCAGTTGACTCAATGACAAGCCTTGTGATACAGTGCGCACGTGCTAACCATTCGGCCATCCAACCCCCCCAGAGAGAGAGAGTTTAACTCCACTTGTCACAAGGTCATTTTAGGACTATACCCATTAGGATTGATTTTGATGTTTTCTTTGTTATTTAATTTAATTCAATTCTGTTCCAGTTTTTTGTGGTATTGTTTTTTGCTATGAGCAATTTGAGATCCCCAGAGTTCCGAGGCATATGTAGCGATGGGTTTAATAATTGTTTCATATACTTTCAGTACAACATCACTGGCACAAATTTTATTGCGTAAACTGAACCAGGCCCTTCTTGCTTTCTTGCTTAAGTCAGCCATAGCTGCTTTATATGAGGGAGCCACGGTGGCTAGGTGGTTAAGGCGCTGGCTCGCTAGCCTGGAGGTCGGGTGTTGATCCCTGCATTGGCCGAGAAAGTTCATCCCGATTTTCCGACGTGGTTTCCCCTTGTCAGTGATGCAGGACGGAGGGCCTGACAAGGACAGCTGTCTAGTCCTTCGGATGAGACTAAAAACCGAGGTCCCGTGTAAACATTGGAATGCACGTAAAAGATCCCTTGGCAGTTGGAATTCGATATAAGAGTAGGCGATAGTGCCGCTGCCCGGGCAAAATTTCCCTCATAGCACACTGTATGGCGTATGCCCGTCTTCATTAGCCCAGTATAGGAGCAGAACAGTAGGACGTTAAACCCCATTTTATTTCATTTTTGCTTTATATGAGCCATTATTTGTAAAATTAACCCCTAAATATTGGTATGAAGAGACATGATCTATTTTGCTATTTCCAATATCAAAATTTAATGACAGTTTTACTTTTATTACATTTTTTGTTAAAAAAAATCTTAACTTTAGATTTCTAAAGATTAACATTTAACATCCAGTGTGAGAGAGCAGTGACATAAA